GACTGAACAAGTTCACACTCCTACTACCAATGTATATAAATTCTAGTTGCTCCACATCCTCACCAACACTTATATTGTGAACCTTTTTAATTTTAGCCAGTTCTTTTGCATTTTGCTGGGTCAACTTAGCCAAATTGGAACTATATTCCCCAGAATTCCCTTCCCTTTTGGGTTAGCCAATTATTTAGCCAACAGAGATCTGCACAAGATTTGCAAAGTGGAAGGAAGCAGAAGTCGTTATGCTCAGAGGGTCAGTATAGGGTGCCAGGCGCCCCCCCATCTCATGCACATTGTTGCTGATATGCTGGCTCACACTATTGGTAGACAGCAGCAGCCAGGCCTGAACTCCTCCTGAAGCTCCTCCAGGCCTGAAGCTCCCACCAGAGCTCCATCTTCAGCTTTTCTGAGTTCTGGGCCAGCTCTGTGGCAAAGCCTGCCAGCTTTGTCTACAGATCACCCACATCGTCGAGGGTGGAGGTGATGAGATACAGATTCCAGGTTCTCCTCACAGGTGCCCGTTTATTCTTGCTCTTCCACACTTCACGTCCATCTTTTCTTTGAATTGCTGCCCTGCTGATTTACAATGACTACTGGTCCATTGCCAGATATGCACGCAATATCTTTCCATACATTTCATCACCAGCTCCTTAATATTTAAACTCCTTAAATTTAAGGCGTAATCTCTCGTTCTATAACGTTCATATTGGTTCTGTTTCCCAGATAGAATCCTAACTGTTAAAACTGGTGAATCCAGGGAAAGAGTAGATGAATGGTCATTGTACTACTCCTATGACTTTCCTGAAGGTTTAAAAATTTTCAAAGTACGGGGCCGGCCCCGTGGCTTAGCGGTTAAGTGCGCGCGCTCCGCTGCTGGCGGCCCGGGTTCGGATCCCGGGCGCGCACCGATGCACCGCTTCTCTGGCCATGCTGAGGCTGCGTCCCATATGCAGCAACTGGAAGGATGTGCAACTGTGACACGCAACTATCTACTGGGGCTTTGGGGGAAAAAAAAATAAATAAAATTATATAAAAAAAAATTTTTTTTCAAAGTACAAAGATTAATATAACAAATACCTTTGTGATCAGTACTCAGTATTATTGAATATTAATACTTTGCCTTGTTTGTTTTAAATCTCTTTTTAAAACAATAAAAATTTTACATCTTCTTATCTAAGACAGCAAAATGTTGACACTCATTAAATGTGAGTGGTGGGGACAAGGATATCTGTAGCAAATTAGCAAAAAGAAAACCAAGCAAAAAAAGTAAATAAAATTCTCCACAATAAACCACAGTCATTAAGGCTGCAGAAATTTCAGCCATAGTTCTTCATACGTTGGTAGTAAAGCACAGCCACAAAAATCACAGCAAAATATAGCAGTTCTTTGTTTCCTATCAAACTAAACATACACCTTCCCTATGATCCAGCAATTCCATTCCTAGATATTTATCCAAAATAAATGAAAAATATGTTCTCAAAAAAAAAAACTGATTAAAAAAGAAGAGAAGAGAAAAAAAAATACTTGTATAAGAATGTTCATAGCTCCTTTATTTGTATTAGCAAAAAACTGGAAATAGCACAAATGTCCATGAATAGAAGAATGGAAAACATATGGCATATTGTACAATGAAATACTACGTAGCAATAAAAAGGAACAGTCCACTGCTACATGCAACCACATAGATGAATTTCAAAATGTATGCTGAGGGAAAGATGCCAGAAACAAAAGAGTACATCTTCTATGATTCCAATTATATGACGTTCTAGAATAAGCAAAACTAATCTATGGTAAACATAGGTGTAAATATTTATGACCTTGGATTAGGCAATGGTTTTTTAGATGTGACACCAAAAGCACAAGGAACAAAAGAAAAATAGATAAATCGGACTTGATTAAAATTAAAAACTTTTGTGCTTCAAAGGTCACCATGAAGAAAATGAAAAGACAACCCACCAAACTGGAGAAAATTTTTACAAATCGTATATCTGAAAAGGGACTAGTATTTAGAATGCACAATGTAAGAATGAAGAATTCTTACAAGTCAATAATAAAAAGACAAATAACCCAATTTTTAAAAATGGGCAGGGGCCGGCCCCGTGGCTTAGTGGTTAAGCACGCGCGCTCCGCTACTGGTGGCCCGGGTTCGGATCCTGGGCGAACACTGACGCATCGCTTCTCCAGCCATGCTGAGGCCGCATCCCACATACAGCAACTAGAAGGATATGCAACTATGACATACAACTATCTACTGGGGCTTTGGGGAAAAAAAGAAGGATTGGCAATAGATGTTAGCTCAGAGCTGGTCTTCCTCACACACACACAAAAAAAAAAAATAAAAAAAAAAAAAAAAAAAAAAAAAAAAAAAAAAAAAAAAAAAGGATTTGAATAGGAATTTCTCCAAAAATGGCCAATAAACACATAAAATATGCTCAAAATGATTAGTCATCAGGGAAATGAAATCAAAACCACAATGAGCTACTACTCCACACCCAAGAGGATGACTATAATCAAAAAGATAGATAGTAAACATTGGCAAGGATTAGAGAAATTGGAACCCTCATACACTGCTGGTGGGAATATAAAATGGCAAAGTTGCTTTGGAAACAGTCTAGCAGTTCCTTGAAAGGCTAAACATAGAGTTATCATCTGACCCAGCAATTCCACTCCTAGGTGTATACCAAAAAGAAATAAAAACACGTCCACACAAAAACTTGTGGAAGAATATTCACAGCAGCACCAATCATATTACCCAAAAAAATGGAAACAACTCAAATATTCATCAACTGATGAATGGTTAAATAAATGTAGTATATCCATAATATTATTATGAATATTATTCAGCCATGAAAACAAGGTACTGATAGATACTACAACATGGATGAACTCTGAAAACATTATGCTAAGTAAAAGAAACCAGTCACAAAAAGCAACATAGTGTATGATTCCATTTATATGAAATGTCCTGAATAGATAAATCCACAGAGACAGAAAGCATAGTAGTGCCTGACAAAGGCTGGGGGGTTGGGGTTATACAGGGAGTGAGTACTAATGGGTATGGAGTTTCTTTTTGGTGTGATAAAAATGTTCTAAAATTCGGGGCCGGCCCCATGACTTAGTGGTTAGGTACACGTGCTCTGCTACCGGCAGCCTGGGTTCAGATCCCGGGCACGCACCAACGCACCGCTTGTGCGGCCACGCTGAGGCAGCGTCCCACATACAGCAACTAGAAGGATGTGCAACTATGACATACAACCATCTACTGGGGTTTTGGGGAGAAAAAGGCGAAAAAAAGAAAAGTTCTAAAATTGATTGTTCTAAAATTGATAGTTTCACAACTCTGTAAATATACTAAAAAACACTGAATTGTATGCTTTAAATAGATGAGTTGTATGGTATATTAATTATATCTCAATAAAGCTGTTATTTAAAAAAAACAGAAAAACACTAATGTATGATGAGAAAAAAATCAGAACAGTGGTTGCCTCAGTGCTAAGGAAAGGGATTGACTGGGAAGGGGCATGAGAGAACTCTCTGGGGATGATGGTAGTGCTCCAAATCTCAAGAAGACATTTGAGTTAAACAGCTGTATGTGTTTGTCAAAACTCAAGCATTTCATTTATTTTTTTATTTTTTTTGTGAGGAAGATCGGCCCTGAGCTAACATC